TCTCTCTCTCTCTCTCTCACACACACACACACACACACACACACACACACACACACACACATATATATATATATATATATATATATATATATATATATATATATATAATTTTTTTAGATTGCTTTGAAGTGTTTGATTTGAATGGGGACGGCTACATTTCAAAGGAGGAGATGTTCCACATGCTGAAGAACAGCCTTCTCAAGCAGCCCTCTGAAGAAGACCCTGATGAAGGGATCAAAGATTTGGTTGAAATTACACTTAAGAAAATGGTAAGTATGAGTAACTTAAAAGTTTTATATTCAAGCCTATAGGCAAGGTGTGGGATAGAAGTAAGAACCCAGTGACGATGATTTCCAGCATTCTGCTTAGTTAAATAAAAGTTGACTTGTAGTAGAACATTCTCTTTGAGCTGCAGGAGTGGGACGGTGACAGAGCACTTGCCTAGCATGTGAGAGGCTCTTGAGTCCATGCTCAGTGACCACTTGCCCTCCACACACTACAAAGCTTTATTTTTCAGTGTCCCACCCTAATCTCTCACTCTTCTCCTAACACTTGACTGCGAAAAAGAGTGTGCCTCTGCAGCAAAAGTGCCATGTGTTCACTGACCCAGGCTGCTCACCTCTCAGGACCAAGACCATGATGGGAAGCTGTCCTATACGGACTATGAGAATGCCGTGAGAGAAGAGACTCTCCTGCTGGAAGCCTTTGGGCCATGCCTGCCTGATCCAAAGGTACCAATATTCCTTTTTTTAAAGAATTCAAAACGGAATTTGCAACAGACAACCCAGGACTTCTCAGCTTGGTGTATGGTAGTGAGAAGAATAAGAGCATAGAAAGACCCCTCCCCCACAGAAATGACAATTTGTCTCAGGCTACTGTCACAGCCCACTAGTGTGTTTTCTTCATTCTTAAATGCATTAATCCATGTTAGAAAGAATTAATAAGGATCAATGTGTGCCAGAAACCCAGAGGAAAGACTTAGCGGCTTCACAGGAGGACAAAAAGCAATATGAGAATTGTTGCACAACATTAGGCTAAGTATTATATTGTTATAACAACATTTAATGATTTGCATATTGCTTTTACTATGGCAGGCAGTGTCATAAGCACAATATCTCATACCATCCAGCTTAGAGACGAGGAGCCAAACTCAGTGGATTAAAGCATTTTATCAAAGCTAACTTGACTAATTAGTGGCATGCCAGGATGGATATGCTGGTGCTCCTGATAGAGAGCTACATAAAGTATGGTGACAGGCAGGAGAAAGAACATCCACGCCATCTAGATCATAAGAAGACAGTAAGGCTTATCCGAAGAACCAGGTTTCAAAGGAAAAATAGCCAGGTAAATATGCAGAGGTAATCCAGGCAAAGGAAACGACATGTGAATGAAAGAAATGGAGGAAGGCAGTGAGCGAGGAAGGAGAGCCTCACTTGGACTTGGCTAGATACAAAATCAGAGGTGCCTCCACAGCCTGCAGTCTGGACAGTGGTAAGGATCTGTTGGGGTTTGAACAGACAATTAATGCATTAATGAATATCCCCATCCTCTGAGCTCTAGTTTGTATCTCCAGCTGCCAATTCATATGTCTACAAAGATTTCTTCTAAAAATTCCTGGTTCCTATAGAACTTGCATCTCCCTGCTTCTCTGGTGTCGTCAAATGGTGCCGTTTCCAGTCATTTCAGTAACCTGAAAGTCGTACTTGGTGGTTTCTCCTGGCACTCTGAGCTACTCCTTCAGCATTTAGCCTTAAAATGGTCCAAGCCAGTGGCCATCATCATCTGTCTTGTCTGAATTATTAGCTTTCTTACTCCCACTACTTTTCCCCTACTGCCTTTCCCCTGCTACACCCACTGCATTTGAAAATACAGATGCATCACACCCCACCTTTTTCCACCTTCTCCTGTGAGATCTCCAGATGCAGATTCTGTATCCTGTCTCTTCAGAAACATCTCTTCCCCTTCCATATGTCTGAGGCCATTGAAATGGGAGCAGTCAACTCTGTGCTCTTCCCTTCCTGCCCCACTACCGACTGTGTTCTTCCCATCTCTTCCTCAACTCTTTACGAGCCTCAGGATCCTTGTAACCCATGATCACTAGACTTACTACATCATACAGACAACCTTTGCTCCCTTACCCCTGCCTCTCTTTGCTCAAGCTTGCTTTTTTCCTCTGTAATATTTCTCGCATGGTATTTATTTGCATGCACACTGTGTGCCTCATCACATATATGTGAGTTTCCTGAGGTCAGGAGAGGAATTCTTTTTACACTATTTTTGCACAACTTACATATTGAGTACACAAAATAGATGCCTAGAAAAACATACATAAATTAGTGGAGACATGAATGGGTGGGTAGAGGGATGAATGGATGGCCTCAGATGTCCCTAGTAGAAAGTTCTGAGCCTGTCTTCCTCCCTTGTTCAGGAACTGCTTAGTCATTTTATTTCCAGCATCCTCAAGCTATTCCCTGATAGTAAAATCTTCCTGTTCAAATTCTAAAGGCTTTAAAACTTTTCCATCTTAAAAGCAAAACAAGGAGCTGGAGAAATGGCTTAGCAGTTAGGAGTATGTGCTTCTCTTGTACATGACTCCTACTTGGTTTCCTGTGCCAAATCTGCCTATAACTCCTGCTCCAGGGATACTTGGTGCATCTGCTCTTAGAAGGCACCCAACCCACTCTCATGTGAATGTACTCCACACAGAAGCACACATACACAGTTGAAAAGAAATCTTTTTAAAAAGCAAATGGAAACAAAAGGATAGAAGGAAGGAAGGAGGCAGAGAGGGAGGGCTTGTATTCACATGAGTTTCATAGCCTCTTCTACCTGTACATCTACAGGTCTTGAAAAAAACATCCATTTTAAGACTGGCTCACTCCTCATCTTCTAGAATCTTGTTGCTGAGATCACCCTGTCCCTCTCCACATCCGAATGTAAAATCTTATGAATGTCCTTGGGTCCTTGACTGTGTCTGAGTCCCTGGATGCCCAGAGCTCAATGCTGTTGATCCCCACTGAAGCCTCATACAAGAGCTCTACTCCCAGATCCTGACCTCCAATAGGAGGCTGCTGCAAAGCTATCCGAGAAGTTCTCAGTGCCCATTGTGTTAGTCAGAATTCTCTAGAACACACGTTCTCAATCTGTTGGTTGAGATCCCCTTGGGAGCTTAAATGACCCTTTCACAGGAGTCACCTAAGACCTTCAGAAAACACAGATTTACATTAGTATCCCTAATGGTAGCAAAATTATACTTAGGAAGTAGCAAAGAATATAATTTTGTGGCTGGGATCACCATAACATGAAGAGCTGTATTAAAGGGTCACAGCATTAGGAAGGTTGAGAACAACCAAAATAATAGGTTCTAATCTCAGTCAAGGAATCAACTAGTCAGACAGAGTGAGGGCAAGCAGACAGAGAGAAAATTCTTCCTTCTTTCATGTCCGTTATGTAGGCTGACACAAGAAAGTGTGTCCAAGATTTAAGGTGGGTTTTCCCACCTCAAATGATCTAATCAAGAAAAATTCCTTACAGGTGTGCCCAGAAGCTTAGGTTTTAGTTAACTCCAGATGTAGTCAAGTTGATAACTGAGAAGAGCCATCACAAATCCACCCCTTGTCAACTTAACACAATCATATCCCCTTATGTCATGCTTAATTTCCACATAAAAACAATAGCCAGGTCATGATAACACCTAACATGATGTAACTATCCCACATACAGGAACAAATACATATATTTTAGAATAGGTGGCAATCCCTTGTGGGGCATTCTTTTAGCAATTCAAAACTTAAGTTTGATGATCATTAATATTATCTCCATTGATTTTACATTACATGAGAAAAAAATCAAGGAAAGAAAATACAAATACATTATCTACAAAATATGACAAAACCCCTCATTCAATTATCATCCTCATTTCTGAAACTAGTCATATGACCTCAGCTGGTACTTCCTCCTACTACTTGTTCTGTAGTTCCTCTACCTTGAGCAAGCTCATCAGCAGGTTTTGATTCTTTTCCACTATTATGTCAGGCCAGCTGCTTCAGAATGGTGAGTGACATGATAAGACCAATGTGATACCTGAGAATAAGTTTACTGTGACTCTTCTCTGGCTGTGAAGCGAATTCCTTGTTCAGAAGCAATGCTGTGTGGAATGCTGTGATGGGGGATAAGGCATTGGCAATGGATGTGGGTCCATGGATGGTGTTTTGGAAAAAAAAATCACATGCAGGAAAGGCAAACCCACAACCAGAATGAATATACGCCATAATAAGAACAAGGTATTGTCCTTTCCAAGGAGGAAGTGGTCCAATGTAGTCAACCTGCCAGCAGGGCACTGGCTGATCACCCCAGGGAATAATGCTATGTTGGGGACTCAGGTTGGTCTTTGCTGTTTGGCAGATTTGTCACTCAGCTGCAGCTGTAGCCAAGTCAGTCCTGGTGAGTGGAACTTCATGCTGTTGACCCCATGCATAACTCCCATCTCTGCCACAATAGCCATTTCGTTCACGGGCCCACTGGGCAATGGCAAAAATGGTTGGGAAAAGAGGCCGACTGGCCACATAATGTGTCATCATATCTACTTGATTATTAAACTCTTCCTCAGCAGAAGTCAGCATCTTAATGAGGATATACCAGGGAAACAAGTATCTTCACATCCCGGGTGAAGGATCTATGGACATACTTGTTCCCCAGATGCCTTTCTCACCAGTTTTCCAAGTCCCTGGCCATCTAATCCATTGGCTATGACCCATGAAGCAGTGAACAACCACACATCTAGTCATTTATCCTTCCAAACAAAATGTGTGAACATGTGTATTACCTGAACTCCGGCCCAGGGTCAAGATTTCCCTGTACCAGTGTCTGTTAGGATTCTCATACACAGGGATTATAGCTCTACAGCTGTTTACTTTTAGGTTGTACCTGTATGCCATCAACAAAGTAGGCCCTAGTTTCTTTCTTCTTCTTCAGTCAACTGCTCCTAGGGCATACCGCCTGAGTCTACAGGTGTATGCTTGGGAGTAGATGGCACTGTAACAGGAGTAGAAACCACAGACTTTGGAGCAACTTCTTTATGTAACTTGCTTGTACCTGCAGGACCTGCTCCGTCTGATCATGTGTATACCACTTCTGGTCCCTAATTAACTGTTGCTGTGCACAGCCTACTTTATGGTTTTGTGGGTTAAATGGCACCCAGATTGTGATGGGCAGCTCAAGTTATAGGGTTAACTTGATGGTCCACTGCCAAACATTCAGTTTTCGCTAAGGCTCAATAATAGTAGTGTAACATGAGGGCCAGCTTGTTGGGGTTTCTGTCCCACCCAGTACCCCACAGCCAGCAAGCCACAAAGAAAAATCACGCACAAGACTCCATAAGATTATAAAGCTGATTGGCCCATTAGGTCAGGCTACTTATTAGCTCTTATAACTTATGTTACCCCATTATCCTTATCTATGTTAGCACATGGCTCAGTACCTTTTCCAGTGGGGCAGCTTACATCTTTCCTCTCCGGTGATCTGAGCAGAACTGCGGAGGGAGCTTCCTGCTTTCCAGAATACTCCCAGTCTCTTTGCTCCACCTCTACTTCCTGTCTGGCTTTCCCGCCTATACTGCTTGCCTGGCCAATCAGTGTTTTATTAAAATATGATTGACAGAATACAGACAATTCTCCCACACCATAGTAGGTCAAGAACTGTCCCTCAAAGGGAGAGGAGTTGTCTGCAGATGATGGTAGGAGCCTTCCTACAAGATTGCAAAGGTCTTCTTTGTGATTCACCCCTAGGGGCATGCTAATGGCTCCAAACAGCATCAATATCTGCCACTGACAACTCAAGAACCATTGGGTCTGCGAGATCATATGCTTCAGATGGTAGCACAGACAGCATAGCAACCCTGACCTACTGAAGAGCCTTCTCTGTTCCAGGACCCACTCAACGCTAACAGATTTTCAAGTCACTTGGTATATATGCTCAAGTAACACATCCAAGAGAAGATTGTTCTCTCTCCAGAATCCGAATAGACCCTCTAAATGTTGGGCTTCTTTTTTGGGAGTGGGGGCGGTCACATGCAATAACTTGTCCTTAACTTCTAAAGAAATACCTCTACACGTCCCATACTACTGCCCTGCTAAACATGTCACTGAGGTAGAAGACCCTTGAACTTTTGTGGGATTTACTTCTCATTCTCTGATGTGCATATGTGTCTTCAACAAGTCCAAAGTGGTTGCTACCTCCTGTTCACTTGGTCCAATTCGCATAATGCCATTAATATAGTCGACCAGTGTGACATTTTGTGGAAGAAACAAGTGATCAAGATCTCTTCAAACTAAGTTTTGTCACAGAGCTACAGAGTTGATGTATCTTTGAAGTAAAACTAAAGGTGTACTATTGGTCTTGCCAACAGAAAGAAAAGCGCTTTTGATCCTCTTTATGGTCAGGTACCAAGAAAACGGCATTTGCTAAAGCATTAGCTGCATACCAAGTACCGGGAGATGTGTTTATTTGCTCAAGTAAGGACACCATGTCTGGCAAAGCGACTACATCAGGAGTCACTGGACATTTAAGTTTTTGATAATCAGCTGTCATTCTCCATAAACCATCTGTCTTTTGCCCTGGTCAGATAAGAGAGTTACGGGAAGAATTAAACTACTACCCCTGCATTTTCGTCCTTAATGGTGGCCCTAATTTCTTCAGTTTATGAGATGCAATACTGTCCTCTCCTCTTTGTCCCTGGTAGAGGCAACTCCAATGGCTTCCATTTGGAATTTCCAACCGTAATAACCCTCACTTCACAGGTCAAAGAACCATTGTGAGAATTCTGCCAATGTTGAAGTATTTCTATCCCAATTATACATTCTGGAACTGGGGAAATAACTACAGAATGAGTTTAGTGATGTACTAGAGCTATTGTGAGTTGTACTTCAGTCAAAACTCCATTAATCATCTAACCTCCAAAAACGTATAACAAGGGGCCCCAATGCTTCTTGGGCTCTCCCTCTCACCGTTGTCCCACACCTGTAAAATCCACTCTCATATATATTCCCCAGACATCTGACTGAATGAATTGGCAAACTCACTAAGGTCTTTAGCGGTGTAGCACACATCTCACGAACTACACTTTTTATCTCCCATTTGGGAGCTGACTGGCGTTAAGTCTGGTCATAGGTCTAGAGGTATTGGTGGGCCCTGGGAAACAGCAGTATTGTCTTGCCTGATATCTCCTTCAGGGAAAGTCACTGTTGGGTTAACATACAATAAATTTCCTTATGTGGAACATCATGGCCGATTAACCAGTATCGACAATCCATACAAGCTATACCGCCATGAAAATCAATATGTCCATGCTACTCATTATAGAGCAGGCATTACGGACATCACTTTGCCTCTGCTGCCAATTACAATAGCTAAAGTCACCGTGCTTGGTGGTTCAATGCTGCCTATTTTCAGGCTCAATTAAACCCATCACATTTAAATTCATCCAATTGAGCATCAGTGTCTCTGACCCCAAGGTCAGGGGTAGGGAGAATGGCACATCTTATGCTAAGGGTGGAGAGATTTCTTCCCCAGAGGAAATAAATCCTCGGGCATCTGAGGTGTCAAAGTTCTCAGCCTCAGTATGATACTCTCACACATCACCATCCCAAGTTATAGGATCCCATTCTTCACCAGTTAACGGCTCTATCATAAACCCCCAAACCTCCATGTCTGGGACTTGAATTTTCCCTGTAATTCAGCCTAGCCAGGCTTACAATGAGAGCCTTGGTTTGATTTTCTTCAGCTTGAGTTCCGTGGCTGCTGGAGAAAAGATTATCTTCCAGGGCACACTTAGAAACCTATAGACTGTTTATGCACATTTGGAGGCAGTCAGTTTTAACCCTGAGTCCTTCACCATATTTTGAGATGCTAGAAGCTGGTTAATTTTATCACACAACTCATTCTTTTCCTGGGTCAATTTATCAACAGACGCTAAGAGAAATCAGTCAGAATCATTATCCTTATTTGTCCATAAATTGTCAGAAGTTTAATAGACAGAGTCACTAAATTCTTTGCTTCTCACAAGAGGCAAATCAGGATATTCAAATGAATTTCTTTCAATAAGTTTATTAAATAATTTACACTATGAGTTTTCAGAGTTCTCCAAGCTTCTAGCAAAGGCTTCAGTAACTGTAGGTGTTAGCAAATTGGAAAGTCTTTTCCAGGTACTTATATAATTCATCCTTATACCTCTGTTGCTCTAGAACCACTCCTGGCACCTTGATCTGTATCAGTCAGGGTTCTCTGGAGAAACAGAACTGACTGAATGTATGTGGTATTTACAAGAGTGGTCCAGCTATCTAACAATGACTGTCCCCTAATGAAAAATTCAAGAACCCAATAGTTGTTTAGTTCACAAGACTGGATGTCTCAACTGGTCTTCAATGTTCATTATGATCCCAAAGAAATAGGCTCAAATCTCAGTGGAGCTATCAACTGGCCAGGAAGAGTGGGATCAAGCAGGCAAAGAGCCAAAGCTCCCTTCTTCCATGTCCTTTATAAAGGCCACCACCAGAAAGTGTGGTCCAGATTTAAGGTGGGTTTTCCCACCTCAAATAATCTAAAGAAGAAAAATCATCGCTTACCCAACAGCTTGGTTTTTAGTTAATATCAGATATAATCAAGGCAATAACGAGAAATAGCTATCATGCCCACCTTCCCTACGAGCCTGTCTCTACAGACATTAGAGAGACACATGGAGTGCCTTGTTTTGTTCTGTCTCTTTTTAATGTCTATACTAAGTTGAGCACTTTTATCTTACAGAGACAGATGGAATTTGAAGCCCAGGTATTCAAAGACCCGAATGATTTCCATGATATATGATTTCCTAAATGTATTGCTTTGAGTAAGTACAAAAGGAGCCACTTGAAGTTCATCTGTTCTTCTCGGCCCAGGAAATGCTGTGGGGAGATTCACATCATTTGTGTGTGTCTTAGTTCAGGCCTTCTTCAGACATGCTGGGTTCGGTAATACATGTTGACACTGCGAAAACTATTTTTACCACATGAACTCTGTTACGACACATACCTGTCATAAACCTCCAGATTAATCAAAGCAATGAACAAATTATATGGACATCACTTCTGGGTACAAATAGTCTTCATGTCGAAAGTAGTTTGAGTGCACACTGAAATATTGTTGAAACTACAGAGTTTCCTTCATAGCAACAAGTGATGAGGATGGTACTCAGAGACTAAGAACATGGCAGGCACTAGGGGCTACAGTAACACGGAGGAAGATCAGAGGAGCCTTCTGTTGTGCTTTCTTCTATGAGGCTTTACTTCACCAGCTAATAGGCATTGGAGGGCAAAGATTTTGTCATCCACACCATCATGGCCACCACAGCAGTAAGTGTTTTGCATGTAATGGGCCCTCAATAAATACTTCAGATTGGATTAGAAAACAGTAAAGCTCCATACGATTACTTCTTGTCCACGAGCAGAGAGGTCTTCTCTGTCGATGGGCCCAGCTTTCAGCTAATTTCTGGATGAACAGAGAGATCTGCTCTCTCCACGGGCCCAGCTTTCAATCAGTCTCTAGAGGCTCATTCAGCTCCTTCATTGCCGTCAGATGCCAGGGCCCTCTCAGCTATGATGTCCAGTGTCACACCACGCTAGCCTGGCTGTAGCCCCTTTACCACTTCTGTATGTTGTGCAGTGTCATGATTGCACACTGTCTGGATTTTCAGTGCAGAACCCATTACAGGGATCACATCATATTATATTCTAATGGGGCCTGCCAGTCATGGAATCTCGAAAGTTCCTGTGGGGCCGGTGGCCATCGTGTGGCACTGAAAGAACTCTCCTCCCCAGGTCTCCTAAGCTCCTTATGCCCTTTGGGATTCACAGGAGAGAAACTAAGGGGGCTGACAATGTGGTACCTACCCCTGAAGCATACAAGCTCTAGATAATATGTCAAAAAGCAAGTCCCCTTTCCTGTTATACATGCGTTACATTTGTGCAAAGGTTATATTGTATACAGAAATTGACTATTCCTAATAAGTAGAATAAGTAATTAACCATGCTGATATATGGGGCTCTACATGAGCATTCTTTCTATGAAAGTTATAAATAATAAAACACAATAATCTTTGTATTTCTATCATCATTCATCATTGGGAAATGTCAGCCAAAATGATGTGTAATTAAGATGTACATAATGTGTATACGTGCATTCGACTAAACAATTACTACTTAAAGTTTAGTAGGATACCTGTCGACACACATTTGTCTAGCCTAGTGCAGTCTGCCCTCGTGGTAAGTTTCAGGTGCATTGACTATATCTTCTGTTGAATAACTGAAATCCAGTACATCTTACTAATACCCCGTCCTTTCCACTTATTGATGGTCACAGCTACTCACCAACCCACTTTATGTTGCTGTGAGATTCTTAGCTTTAAATTCACATTAAAAAGGAGATTCTATAGCACTCATTTTCCCCTGTGTGGGGCATTTTGTGCTTTTGTAGTGTCCAGCTTATGCACAGTATTGCAAATTATATAAAATCCTATCTTAAAAGCTCACTAACATCTCACTTCGAATGCATATGAAATATATGTATGTAGATAATGATGGCAGTGTCCATTTCTGTCTAGTGGCAGACAGTTTGCTTCTGTACCATGAGAATGCTATGAAATGAACGCAAGATTCCAGCGTCACTCTGAACGATAGACTGAATTTCATTTGGTAGCTCTGTTTCCACTTCGCTTCCCTCTTTCATGATGGCTATCCTAATGTACACTTCTACCAGTGCTGTGAGGGTTCTTTTTTCCATAAACCATGAGCATGATTTTGTTATTTTTGTATGCCCTCAACCATTAGGCACTAAAACTGGGAAGGTGACACCATGATGTACTTTGGGCCCATTCTTCTCTGGAACGTGGCAACACTGGGTTTTTCATGTATATATAATTGTTGGCCGTTTGTGTAGATTTGCAAAGCACAAAGCTGGGGCCTTTGTTCAGTTTGCACTGCATCTTCTTGTGCAGTTGTGGCTCACAAAAAAAAACCCACAAGCTTAAGAAAACTAAAAAGCTAAAAGACTAAAATATTGATTAATATTCTGGTGAGTCCTTCCAGTTTTTCAAGGCCCGTCTCTGTGCACCTCTCCACATGTGCAGCTTTGCATGTGGTTCTGTGGAAACTGCATCCCTTCAAGAGGCTGCCTTGGGAACATTTTTCAGGGTGGTTAGGGTTTGTCCACAGCCTGGCTTGTCTCGCCTTCCATGTGTCAGTGGCACGGGCAGTGTCAGGTCTGCTGGTCACTGTGTAGAGTTAAGTTACTGTAGTGTTTGCTGTGGCATCGACTAATGGTGAACATCCTGCATGCAGGCCCATCTCGTGTGCTTCACAACTAGTTTTATTGGAGTGGCTGTGGAAGTAAATTGCTGCATTGAGGTCATGTGTGGTCCTGTGGCCCTCACAGATCTGCTCCTGGTCTAGAGACCACCAGTCTCATCACTGATAAGAGCAGTCTTCCCATTTCCTCTTAATGGGTGATTTGTGTCGTTTGTTTTATCACAATAGCTGTTTGCTTTCTGCTGCTGTGATAAAGACCATGACCAAAATCAACTTGGGAAGGAAAAGAACCTGGAGGGAAGAACTGAAACAGAAGCCGTGGAGGATGCTGCTTACTTGCTCCTTGTTGCTTGCTCGACCTGATTTCCTATATTACCCTAAAACACCTGCCTAGGAGTAGCACTGTCCACGGTGGGTTAGGCCCTTCCATGTCAATCATTCAACAACAACAACAAAAATGTGTCTCACAGACATGCCTATAGGCCAATTTTATGGAAGTATTTTCCTAGTCCTGTTTCCAGATGACACTGTTTTGGATCAAGTAGACCAGAGGATTAAAAACACACTGCATCCAAATTTTTATTGATTGTGTATTAAGTTCCATGTGAATAACCCTCCTTTTATATAATGTTGTTTAAATCTAAAAAATAAAAATAAAATACGAATAAAAAGTTCCAAACAAAATCAGTGCATCTTCAGATGATGCTGGCACATGACTCAAAGGGCATATAGGCCTTGTCCATTGACTTCCCAATACGCATGGAAGCACAGCTTCCGTGTTCCCATCCCCATGTGAATAAAACTTTCCCTTGCTACTGTGTCAAAGTTATTGGAAACTCTTAATTTCATTGCTGTGGCAACTCCAGTGATTTCAACAAACATCTCCTTTGATGCCAGGCATATCTAAACACAC